TTAAGAAATACAAATACTTGATTAGCTAATAAAGATACTTGGATATTTGTAAGTAATATTCATTCATCTTAAAATACCCACAGCATTTCGAACATCATTTTGTAAAGTGTTATTAAGTAAAAGCAAGTTTGACTTAATAGAATAGAATATAAACTCATCATTTAATAACTAACAAAGAACAATACAAAGAAAACAAAAGATATAACCAACATTTATTCCATGATGTGATGGAGTAGCAAAATCATTTATCGTGACTATAGTATTTTGAACCATCTTTGCAAAATGTAATATAACGAAAACAAATAATAAAAAGAAAAGAATTGATTTTGATCTTATTGTTCTTGTCTGATTGTTTGCAATCATGACGTCATAACTTATGATCACGTGACAATACGCGAAATTTATTATAAATATGTGATATCATAAATATGTGATATTATAAGTCACGTGACACTGTGTCCAAACACCCCGTGTAAACTTAGAAATATTCTTTTTAATATATTTTATAATTAAGTTAAAAAATCAAAAACTTTTAGATTTTTATAATTTTATATAAATTTTTTTTAATTACTTTTACGTAAAAAAAAGAATTATTATCTTGTTTATATCTATTTCTATTCAATTCTATCTATCAAAAATATATTATTTTTGATAAATACTAATATTTAATTCATTTTTAACAAATTTTTTATAGAACTTCTAAAGAATTAAATTAATATTATTTAAAATATAGCTTTTAATTTTAGATATTAAAATTTTTTACTTTTATTTTTAATATTATCTAAAATAAATAATATAATTCTGTAATTTAAATATCTTTAAAATTTTTCAAATAATCAATTGTTGCAATTTTATAAACTAACTAATAAGATTAAGAAGCATGTTAAACAATTATAATAGTGATAAGTTATCAAGTAAGTTATTATATATATATTAAAGAATATTCAGTCTAAATTCTTTATATTTTTCAAATAATTAATGATTTTATTTTATACATGAATGCTAAAAACTTTTGATTAGAAATTATATTTATTATTTAAAATCTAATATCCTATTTATAGACTATTTATTCTAAATTTAGAATTTTAAGATAAATGTAAATTACTTTAATTTAGATATGATTTTATTATAAAATTATTTTTGGTAATCATCAAAAATTTCTAATACTAAATTTCAAAACATTGATAATTATTTAATAATGATTAAAGTAAGAATTCCAAGTAACCAATTTTTAAATATCAGTTTTTTTTTTAAATTAGCTTTACAAACTATATTTTTAATATTATTTTATCATAATTGTAATATTTTATCAAAAAAATTTAAAATAAAGTAAAATTTTTATATTATTCAATTTGACTTTAATATTTTCACAATTAACATATTATTATAGGAAGATATTAATCCAAAAGATCATGTGACACACGTGACCAAAAGGCACATCGACTGCGCTATGTTAGACAATGAAGACGGCGAAGATGAGAGAAATGAATTAAACAAAGATTACGCAGAAAACCCAGAAGTCGCCAAAAAATTCTATTATATTATTAATTATTTGTATTATTAATCATCTATTATTTATAATCAATTGGTATTTTATTTATTTATATTAGTAAACTTAGTATAAATAGAATAGCTTTAGGACTTGGTTAAGGCAGACAACTAAAAGTAGCAATAAACAGCAGAAGATAACAAGAGATAATAATTTGTAAAACACTTGGAACTCAATTAGTTTTTATCACCAACAAGATAAATACTAATAACAATTATATGCTAACAAATATAATTGTAACGAATTCCTTATCCTTTAATAAAATCTAAAAGTTTATTTAAATATACACTATTATTTGAAGTAATAATTATTTGTAAACCTTCAGAGCTCTTCCTAAAGTATCAAATAAAAGCTAAATTCCTTTGTTAATCTTGCGTTAATACTAATTTTCAGTCATTAGTATCGTAAGATAACAATTTGGTACAGATTGGGTGGAATAAAAACCAATCTGACAAATCAAACATATGCGAAGGATACTTAGACAATTAACAGTAGCTGTAGGACCTATTCTTCTCCAACTTCAGCTATAGATCGCTAAAATTCAATTTCAGTATAAATTATTAGAGAACGAAGAAATTGTTTCAATCAATCGTCTTAAATGTTTATAAAGTAACATCAACGACCTAAAACATTTTATTGAATTTCATAAAATTAAGGTCATGTGAGACGAATTAGTATTTAGCGACGATTACTTTGACAACAAATCTTAATAAATCTGAAGGAATCTAGCACTGACCATATCACTGAAGAACAATACCTCCTAATCATCCAACAACATATAGCTGCTTATAAGGAACTTGAGGATCATAAAATCTCATTTATTACCCATTTAGATCAATCCTGCTTACAGTGTTATTTAGATTACGAAACTCAATCAGAAAAACTACTATTTTTTGATAATTTTTGGTTTCTATGAATTGTACCTAAATATAACGCTGTATCATACATTATCTTTATTGTAGCATATTTTATAAGAGCCCAAGAAAGTGAGGCTAGCTTTTCAGAAAGAAACCACTTATTGAAATATTTGTTGAGAAAAATTGTCACTACAATTAGATATAGAGACAACATACTAAAGGAATCCTTTGATAGTATCGCTGATAAATTATATCAAATTTGGGTAAAAATGAAACAGTTTCAATTGTAGAAATTGAAAGTATTAGCAGTATCAATTTAATTATAAATAGCAATTGTAGTAATACCTCAGAGAATATGGAAAGAGACTAAAATGATACTATCATAGCACCTTTTCAGGGAAGTAATGAAAGCTCCCCAGGGATGACACTGTCAGTAGCAATGAATGGACTACTATCAGGAACTACCATACCCATATTTTAACCACTATCTAATATACCATCTTATGCACAACCATGACAACCATATCTAGGAGATAGGAGGCAATATGATGAAGAAGAAAATGACACATATGCCCCTGATTATGAACAAAATATCCTATTTGGATATGTCAATGATGATGACGAAACATTACAGGGAACATCTTTCTTTGACAATGCAAATGAACTAGAGAGAGGAGGAACTTCAAATAGAATACCTCGAAGAGTTACATTTAATACAAGTAATAATAGGAGGTCTCTATCTCCTGTCAGGGTAGAAAATGTTCAACAATTAGTAGCTTTAACATTATCTAGTAATCAATCGTCAAGGCCATCAAATTTTAGGGTAATGACTTCACCAGTAGGAAATACAAATAATGGATTATCATTGGAAAATCCTTACAACTTTTTCCAAGCAACTCAATATAGTCATATATTTAACCCTTTGGTATTACTTGATCTTTTTTGAAATGGCAACCCATCTACAACCTCTAGTTTCACAACTGCAAATTGGCAACCAGTAAATAACCGTTGGCTTGGAAGTAACTTAAGTAGCAGAGGAAATAATACAATGGGACATCAAAATGTAACTACTAAAAGAACCTTATAGTCAACAACGATAGCCTAACTATATAATATACTAGGGAACGGTAAACCATTATTAAGTCTGAAACGAAATTCTAACTAAAGTAACTCAAAATGCCTATTAAAAAATATAACACAATCAAGTTAACTCACATGTCTAATTAATTAGTTTTATTAATTATAATAGCCAACTATTAGAAAATGTAACATAAAATAAAAAACCTTAATAAA